TGCTTAACTTATTTATTAAATCTGCTTATGTCTGTATGCACCTCCAGACTTCTATGCTAAACTTGATTCCGTGGCAGGTGCACGCAACACGCCTGAGTATACTTGTGCTCTCGAAAATGCATGTGAGCAAAAATCAATTGAAGGGGAGAAAATTCGGAAAATGTGTCAATCCTAACCCCCACCTGACTAAGCCACGCCAAATGCTGGTTACCAACTAAATGGCCTGTCTTGAAAAAGCAAGCGCAAAAACTACTTCGCCTGTATAAAACTGTTTATCACGTTTTGTTTGTTCCGATTATTTAACCTATGCGAAATTCGCAACATCGCCTTCATCTTGCGTGACAGGACTGTGCTTCAAAGCACCAGTTGGCATGTTCCGTTTAAATAATTTAAAAATTATTTGTCCAAATTTATATCAAATGGGGCCATTCTGTCAGTTGCACGCTAAGAATCTACAAACAATCTTGGTAAGTTTGCACACAGGCACAGGGGTTTGGCATGTCACACTTCGCACGCTGAGATTTTTGGATTTATTTCAGAATCTATATGCGTTGTGTACTAAAGTTGTTTATCCAGTTTACAAGCAACTTCGTTCCCATAGCTACAAAAACCGTAACTACTGAACTTGCTAACTCTGAAATGTTCACTCAAAGTCAGTTCTGTAGTTGCATTATACACTCCAAATACTGGAATACAACCACTGCTGCACTGACAGTTTGACTTTTCAGGGCTCTGAATCTACTGTATCAAGACTAGCAAAATGATGTCAAACATAGACACACATGGCATGGAAGAATTTGACCTATCTAAAGAGAATACGATCAATGATATATTATATTTCAGTAACTAGATTCAATACAATTGGACCATCATGATGAAGTTGCTAGACACTTTGAAATCGTTTCTTTTTTGTGAGTTATAGTAATCGCAAAAATATTGATAATAAATGCAACCAGTGATAAAAATCTAATTCAAAAATTTTTTCTCAAAATTTGGGTTTCTGGAAACTTGGGTAGCACATCACCCGTCTATATTTTTTCAATGTTAATTATGTTAGGTTATTAAAGTCAATGATCTGGAATTTGTCGTAACGCAACATAGGTAAACCACCCTATGCTATGCGTGAGAGCTTGGGCCAACACTGCTGTTCTCATTTTATAAACATTAAATTATGAAATTGTTGAATAAGGTACCGGTAATTGTGATTGAAAAATAATAGCTTAGTGGCGATATTGACTGGATTAACTAAACATAGCCTACTTTGTCAGATTTGTCCTAAACGTATTGCAATTTGCAAGTTTAGCATGCAAAAATCAAATAGCAATTCAGGATAACATATTTCGGGAAAACCAACAGGAAAGACCTCTGATGTTATTTTCAATACACCAGGAAACAGCATATTATGCTGATTCAGTTAATGGAGAAAATTACCAATTTATTGCAAAGAATTTTTTGTTTTAATTGATGAAAAATAGTTTTAAATGTGAAAAAAGATTTGGGTTTATTTTGAAATATTGTAATTCCATAAGAATAATTGAATCAAAGTAACTATTTGTTGTGGATATTGCAATAAGTCAATATCAAGTAAAATTCTAATTGCAACTCTATATGCCACGTGTATTTATTTAAAGTTTCTGGCTCATTTGATACTTTTTTGAATAAAAATTACAACCAGTTTAAAGATCATATATAAAAAATTCTATGAGGTTCGAAAACATAGAGATAATGTAAAAGCACCAATTTGAAGCACTAAAACTAGCCAACTATGACTGAAATCCTGGAGTGGACTAAATATTCAATGGTGTTAATTCCAGTAATACATTTTAACTTCATTGTCTTAATTTCTAATAGAAGTACAAGGTATGATTAAATATATACCAGTATAATCAACTGAAAAACCTGCAGAATTTTGGCATGAAGATTTATATATTCTCTTCTTGTCACTAGGATCATAAACTACGAATTTCAAATTCATTTACTTAAAACAAATGGAGAGGTAAAATCAGAGATATGGATTAAGGTTGCTTTCAATAGTTAATCATGACATATTTCAAGCTATAAATGGCCCAAAACAGTGTGGTTTGTGAAAATTGGAATATTTTTACAGTCATATATGATTTAACTTGCCTTGAGAAAGTATAGTGAACATTTTATGTATGTTTGACCAAAATAATTTCATGCCTATGGCATTGGTTCTCAAAATTTGCTATGTACGCCCCGAAAATTAACAGAATTGTGTTGTCATAGCTAGAGCTCGACCGATATATCGGCCAACCGATATATCGGGCCGATATTACGTGTTTGCCGATATATATCGGCCATACTCAGCAAGCGTCAGGCTGCGTGCTGCAACGGCTCTCGCCTCTCGCCCCTGCGTAACTGGTTTTCCAATATTTTTGCATTATAAAAGTGTCTCTCTTAATTCCCGGTGTCTTATGATTAGCCATTTCATGCATGGACGCACGGTCATAACTGAAAAATTATTATCTGGAGTAACAATGATATTGATGTTTTTGAGAGAGTACACAATGAGAAAAAAAAAATTTAGTAACAGCATTAAACGGTGGTTCTATAAATAGAATCGATTGGAAGCTGGTGAGTTAGTAATCATAGAAACATGGTACAGGTAGCTCGAAGCAATAATGTTGGTTCCGAATTTGTGAACTCCCCAAATTAAATTTTGAATTTCTAGGGTAACAGTTTTGCCAATATTGATGGTTGTTTATCATTTTGCTGAAAATTACAAAATAAAAACTTATTCCATTATTATTGACTAAATAAGGTATTGAGAGTCTCTGGAAACAAAGTTATTGAAAATTTCACATGTAACTGCACATATGCTATCACAATATCGAAGGATCATTATCACGATTCACTTTAAAATATATCAATTTATAATTTTTTAATACCCTTAACATATGTCCATAGTTATATTTAAAAACGTCTGATTAACAATTCTTTTTCCTTGAAATAGCTAGACTGATATTGAAGTAGCAGGAAAAGTTACAGAATAACATTTGTTCGAGCATTAACTAAAGTTAGTTAAATAAAAGTCTTACTGTCATGATAACAAATATCAAAATGAAACTACAGACTCACAAGGTGCATCATAAAAGCGTGGCTCAAAATATGATTTTTAATAATATCGGCATTGCAATATCGGTTATCGGCCACCAGTTGGCCGATATATCGATATCGGCGTCGAAAAGTGATATCGGTCGAGCTCTAGTCATAGCTACAGTAATATATGGTTTAATATTTGACATATCGTTTTATTATAATGTTTTATTGTTTCCTATTTTAAATGCTGTGTATATAAATCAGTGAATCCATTTTTACCTTTCTATGTTGTTTACTTTCTGTTAGGTAATGTCTGCCTCTATTGTTATGTAGCAATGGAGATAATCCTATGAGCTGCAGTTTATTTATCTTCTTAGTTTAGCAAACATGTTTTTAGTATTCCAAAGGAAATAAATAAGCTCTAGTGTTATTTTTCCAATGAAAATTTAAATAAAACCCTGCCTTATTTTTGGGGAAACACGGTATAATAAAGTACTAGACATAGAGCTTTGTTCTGCAATTGAGTTGTCAATTTGTTAGTTTGCAGACACAGTTGGATACACCCGCACACCTTTATCCATATTGTCAGTTTGTCTGGTTAAGTCATTAAGATGACACAGTATCAATGTCATTATTTCATTACCAAGTTAATTCTGTTAGTTCTGTTTTATGTTTATCCTTAAAGAAGATGTTTTGTAGCGCTCAGACTCTTCAGTTTGGAACAATTTCTCATTCTTGGTTTTTCAACTTAGTTGGTAATATTTTATAGAAGTGCCTGAGGCAAAGGAACATATCTGTTCTTATAACATGAACTATCATCACTTGTGACACATCTTTCCCCCTCGGGCAAAATCTGGTATTTCTAGTTGACAAATTTTAAGATGAAGACTGTAATTGCACTACTTGACTATGCCATGAAATTGTTGAGCTTTTAAATGACTTTAGTATGTATTAGGCTTCAGTTAGAGTAAAATATTAGAGTTATTTATATCATATATATAACAATATAATAGTTGTCAGTTCATCCATGGTTACATTGTGTCGTATCACAGAGAATATTATTATCGTAATCAGTGAGATTGTATTTGAGAATAATGATTCTTATATTATCTTAGCCATAGCATATTTTCATAACACCTCAATGTGAAAAGGTTTCTTCCATCGATGAATACTACACAGTTATGAAATACTGGTGCATTAAAAAAAGTTTTGAGGGTTTCAAATTAATAATGTTCGAGAAACAATATAACTCATTACCAGTAGTATGTCCTTGGTCACATTAACTGCGAAATTACATTTCCACGTTCCAAACAGTACCGTAAGTTTCTTATTTCAGAAGCAACCTAGTCAAAGGTCTGAAAAGGTGTTTCACAAAGTTGTGGTAAAAAATACAGTAACTCAAATAATCTTTGTAGTTGATTTGTAGTAATATAAATTGTAAACTTACTATTTCTACTCTAATTCTATTTCTAATTGTTGTGGCCAATGTCAGGCCTCATCAGGTAATTTACACATTGATCGAACACATTTCTTTGTGTGTGAATTGTTATGGTGGTTATGATTAGTTCTTATTAAACAGTAGAACGAGGATATCGGTCGGAGACCAAAGACTTATCGATCGAAAGTTAGGAGATCCCCCATTCATTCACTCTGACTCTGTAAGGACACCGCGTGTCCTATTACTAATTAATTGATAACTCGCTAATTATACGACGTAATTCATCCAAAATCAATAGGCTTCTGGTCCGAGCTATGATGATTGCACTTGCAAAATTTGAAATTCAACCTCGTTTTCGTGAGATATCGCGTGCATCAAACAGACAAATACCTGTAACATACTTACCGATCTTAAGATCGATAAGTAATGAGTTTATTCCTGTTTTACAACTTTAGTCTCATTAGACCAATTTTATGCAATTGTATTTGACATTCCAATTTCATTTGCAGCTGATGACTTATATAATATAGGTTATGTGATACACCTGCAAATACATACAGTCTGTAATTTTTTATTGCTTACTTGAGGTTTAGAAAATTTGAAGTTGTAATACACAAGATTATCATCATGTCTTCTGGGCTCATTCAACGGAAGACAGAAGCTACTATGGCTGCAGCCCAGATGAAAAAGAAAGAAAGTCGAAGTGATGACGAGAAAAGTGATGATGATAGGTTTGTAGTTCATTTTGCTTATTATATCTATTGCATCAGAAATGCTCTAGCCAAGAATTTCTCAAAATTATCCCTCCACATATAGGGGGGCACAGAGTGGCATTGTGGAGGTCAAGAACAGATATTCACTAGGCCACCGTTCATGATAACTGCATTAATTTAGAGTAAACTGAGAAAGATTTTTTTGTTTATTTCACCGTAACGCATTCTTTTGCTTTCATTTGTTGGCTTTTTTTTGTGTTAAATTAAAATAGCTGATGGCAATAATAATTTCTAAATTATTCTTTGCATTTTCCTGCTGTTCATCAATTGAGTTGTTGATATTCTTTTGAATTAAACACCATGGGAGATATATTTGCGGTAGACAAAGTGTTTTTTATTATTTTTCAAGTAAATATACGTCAGAAACTCAGAATGGTGTGTAGAATCGGTTAATCATAACCAGCCCTACTGATCAGCCATACAATCAATAGTAAGCATGTTCTTGTCGCTTATTAACACATTGCACCGATCGTGGATACTTATTAATTGTAAACAATAGCTACAACCTACTGTGCATTTTTATTTCATGTTCATTGTTCTTTATTTGAATGGTGTTGTATTTCAATTTTAACATAGAGACCTCAGACACCCATCGCTAGTTATTCTGTGTTTTTACTGACTGTGTGCATACTCTATTTCAGAATGTCTGATAGTGGGGACAAGTCTATGCGATTAACTTTAATGGAAGAAGTTCTTCTGATGGGTTTGAAAGATCGTGAAGGTTACACATCATTTTGGAATGATTGCATATCATCAGGATTAAGAGGTTGCATTCTGGTTGAACTTGCTTTGCGTGGAAGGATTCAGCTTGAAAGGCAACAAGCAAGGAAAAGAAAATTGTTGGATAGGAAGGTTCAGAAACATCTCTTCACCAATCTTTAGAAGTTTTATTTTCAATTACTCATTTTGAACAGATTTTATAGTAGTCATAGCAAGCAAGCCTGAAGTGTACCACTTATTTGTGGAATTGAGGTTTAGGTATTAGAGTTGTTAGACTAAATTTTCTTTATATTGTTTTTTTTACGCAAAACTCTGAATTCGTGGAATTGAGGTTTAGGTATTAGAGTTGTTAGACTAAATTTTCTTTATATTGTTTTTTTACGCAAAACTCTGAATTCGTGGAATTGAGGTTTAGGTATTAGAGTTGTTAGACTAAATTTTCTTTATATTGTTTTTTTACTTACCGTACACATTTTTTTACGCAAAACTCTGAATTCCAGGTACGATGTAAAAATGACGCACCTACTGGGGATGTTATCTTAGATGAAGCTTTGACACATATTAAGAAAGGAGAAACAGAAGAATCAGTTCAGGTAAACATTGTTCTTTGGTCTAATAATATTTGAAAATATTTTACATCAGGATGCAAATTACTGGGCAGGCAACATTTGCGCAGGTGCTATTTTGAATTAAATTTCCTTCCGTTGGATATCCAATATATAGATGTCAAGCGGAATAAATACTAGAATACTCACAATTCCTTGATTTCACCTGAAATGTTCAAAAAATGTAATTGCTCCGATGAAAAACTTCCAGTTATACTAACTTTCATTTTTTTCCTGAAACAACAACTCCCAACAACGAAAAGAAGAGAACTCCTTCTTCGAATGGTCCGATGTGTATATAATGAACTTTGTATGACACCAGTCTATGAAGGAGCCCAGAGGATTTGTGTCTGCTTTATTCCAATATAGTGACATAGAAAATATCTCTATCAAGCATATTGTTGGCTAAATCAAACCACCCATTCCTAGTCGAAGAGGTGAACTAATATTTGAACTGAATGCCCGTTTATGGTAACCATTATTGAGTTCAATCGTTCCAAATTTGATGTGGTGCCAAATAATTTAATTTCAAGGTTTTTTTAAACAGTTTTTTTTAAATATTATCCTAAAAAATTTGAGTATACTGAGTTACAAAAGAAAAGCCTTTTATGACTACTTGAATAGGATTCAAACTGTTTATTAAACCGCAAGAAAGTACAGAGTTAGGATGTTACAAATGAAACCATAATTTCATAGAGAATTAATTTTACATTGCTTCTAACGTCAAAAACTACTCAAATAACCAGACCCCCTTATTGAAAACATATAGCACAAACTGCACAATATACACTTTTCATTTCGTTGATGAGTGGGTATTTGATAATGAAGATTATCAGATTCAATCTTGTAACTTTGTTCCGATGATTAATATTTTGCAGGGATGGATAGATCTGCTGTCTGGAGAAACGTGGAATCCTTTAAAATTGCAATATCAATTACGAAATGTACGGGAACGCCTTGCCAAGAACCTTGTTGAGAAAGGAGTTCTAACAACTTCAAAACAGAATTTTGTTTTATTCGACATGACCACACATCCTGTTGTCAATGATGATGTAAAAGCAAGCCTTCTAAAAAGAGTTCAAGATGCTGTTTTAACTAAATGGCCAAATGATGTTGAAAAGATGGATCGGTCAGTTTCTCATACTATAGTAACTTCTTTTTTACAGTGTAAAACATATGAAACCTCAAGTGATGCATTACTTTAGTTATATTTGAAAAATCAATCATGCTCACTCCTTTTTGCTTTCCTGCAAATCAGTGATTTGTGTTGTTGAACTTTGTGCCAATATTACTGGTTGGGTGAAACTTGGGCGGTTTACATGGTTTGTAACTGTATGTGGGTGGGAAGCCCACATAAATAACAAATTCCTCTATTTTATACCATATTTTTATTTTTTTGAATTATGCATATTATCAATTATCAAAGCTGCAAATTTTTTGATGAGGCACATTTCGCTGAATTCTTCAAATATAAATATTCTGATCTAATGAACATCATGTCACAAATTCTTACTCTATGAGACTATGATAATATAGTAGTCTAAATCAGTGGTTCCCAAACCTTTTTGTCCATCGCCCCCCTAAAGTAGTTTATACAACTTCATCGCCCCCCGGCAATACAAAAAATGTAAAGTCAGAAACGAATATATTATAGACCAAATAAAAAGACAAATCATAGTTTATAGTGTTTTTAATGAGATAGATGAGCTTGGTGTTCTTCAGCGAGTTTTTATTATTTCTAAAATTACGCCGTTTACTGGTGAAAAGGCGATTTCGTTGTTTTGATAGCAATAGTAGCACGGCTGAAAACCCCTTTCCCCCATATAATAGGTCGGAAATGAAAGAATCCAGGATTCTATCTCCTCAAAAACCGCCGTGTACTCTTGCCTTATAAGCATTTCACTTCCTAAATTCACCCCATTTCACATTAAAATAATGAAAACAAAGTTAATTTTCCCAAACTTATAATAATGATTTTCGTACATCTCATTCATTCGTACAGCCTGATGACCTGCACCAAAATACTTCGGTGAAATTCATCCCCGATTCCTCATCCTACCACGGCCTCCAGTCCGATCACCAGTCCATAATTACCCCAGCCATTTGTTTTTGGATTCATGGACTCGGATGTGGAAGAAGCCGTGACCGACTATCGGCTACGGCCCAGGGGTCGGCAAATTTTATGTTGCTTGCAGGACAAAATTCAGGGTTGCTAGGCTTTTGCGGGTCGCATATATTTTTTGAAAGTTAAAAACGGAACAGCGCGCGAAAACTGCGACAATTCGTGAACTCAACTCAGTCGTATTGAAAAAATATTACAGTGACATTTAATGTGACACTGTCTTGTTGCTGCATCACGCTGGATAGCTTTACGACGCCAAGGAACTTTTTCTAAATGGGCATCACTAATCCCAGTTCTTTGCTTGTTCTTTGTAATGTTCATTTTCGAAAATAATTGTTCGCACAAATATGCACTTCCAAACATCGAAGTGAATATTTTGGCATGATTTGTGGAATTTTAATAAAGATTTTCTTTAAGAAGATACATTCTTACAAAAATTAAGCAGTGATGAATCTCTCGAATAGAATATGAATTTTATTTTCTTTGCAATATATTATTCGAATATTGACTGCGCTATTAAACCCCTGCCCTCAGCATCAACTTTTCTTCGTGTTTCCATTTGTCTAATTATATTTAAATTGTAGGCTCGTTAAACGAGTAGCTGTTCAATAGAAATTTTAGGATATAATGAAATGTAGTCTAAACGTGTCTCACGATAAATTCTGTTACGTAAAAAAATGTTATTTACTCCTCGAGCGTAGATTATAAATAAAAAATAATTTATCGTCAAAACCGCCGTTTGGATGTTACCTTGGGCATAGACTTCCTTGTTTACTTCGTGACATTGGCCAATCAGCAAAATGCAAAAAACGTAACAATGCCCCCTTTCGCATCCACTCAGGCACGCTTACTCAGACAGATTTTCAGACGTGGTCGTGAACATTACCTCATTTTCGCGTTTTTGAATTATATTCGTTAGTTTTTAGTTGTTTTTCGAAAATTTAAATGTATAAATCAAACAAGTCAATGATTAATTTGTCTTCTTATGATTTTCAGTTTGAATACAGCAATCAAAAGTTAGTGTAGAAATAGCTGTGATAGACTAGGCTAAAATTCTTTATCGGTACTTTAAAAAAACAGATTGTATAATGGTATGTATTAGAAAGATAGTTTGAAACTAATACCCCATTTTACAGGCAACAACTCGTGAAACCACTCTTAAAATAAGCACCGAAAATTTTATAATGGTAAAGTATGGGAAGAATTTTCCGCGGTCAAAGGTCGGGGAAAGGTCCATTCAGTAAATCGTCCAGGGCCAGATTATTTTACTCCGGCCGTATTTTGCCGATCACTGGGATACAGCAACAAGACAGTGTCACATCAAATGTCATTGTAATAATTTTTTTAATAAGACGACTGAGTTGAGTTCATGAATTGTCGCAGTTTTTGCGCGCTGTTCCGTTTTTAACTTTCAAAAAATATATGCGACCGCAAAAGACTATCAACCCCTTATTTTGTCCCGCGAGCGACATAAAATTTGCCGACCCCTGGGCCGTAGCCGATAGTCAATCACGGCTTTTGCCACATCCGAGTCCAGGAATCTAAAACGAATGGCTGATTAATTCTATAACCTGTAGGCCATGGTAGGATGAGGAATCGATGATGAATTTTACCGAAAATCTTTATACATAATGTATTTTGGTACAGGTCATCAGGCTGTAGGGATGAATGAGATGTACGGAAATCATTATTAAAAGTTCGAGAAAATTAAATTTGTTTTCATTATTTTAATGTGAAATGGGGTGAATTTAGGACGGCGGTTTTTGAGGAGGTAGAACCCTGGATCCTTTCATTTCCGACCTCTCATATGGTGAAAAAGGGATTTTCAGCCGTGCTTCTATTATTATCAAAACAAGAAATCGCCTTTCCATCAGTAAACGGGGTGATATTAGATTGTGTCTCATTGATGTGTCTCATTGATGTGTCTCATCCATCTCATTGAAAAACACTATAAAATATGATTTGTCTTCTTATTTGGTCTGTAATATATTCGTTTCTGACATTTTTTTGTAGTGCTGGGGGGCGATGAAGTTGTATAAACTACTGTAGGGGGGCGATGGTACAAAAAGTTTGGGAACCACTGGTCTAAATCACATTTTGGCCTGTAATGATTTTATTTTCATGCTCCCTTTAATATTTTTATAGTAAGTGTTTTTGTTTTCTCTCAACAGTCGTACACTTGCTCTGCTCTACTTGGCTCATTCCAGTGATGTTCTCGAAAATGCGTTTCAACCTTTGTCAGATGAAGACTATGACACTGCTATGAGAAGAGTTCGCTTTTTGCTCGATCTGAACCCAGAAGAACAAGGATTACGGAACAGCAATAATGAGTTACTATGGGCAGTTGTGGGAGTTTATTTAAAATAAATTTGAAGAATGCACACACACAAAAATTTAAAACAAATTCTTGCGATAATGAAATGACTCGTATTTCGTCCGTAACACAATTGTTTATATGAAACTTGGTCCATTTTTATATTATCAATTGGAAACTAATCGTTTCCTAGCTTCGAATCGTGGTGCTGTTTGATACTTTATCATTATTCAAAATGATGTGAAAGCAAAATATATATTTTATTTCCAAGGCGAAATCGACCCATCGTTCGTTACAGCATCTTAGGATTAGTTCCATTTAGTTGGTGTTTCTCAATCCATAAACCTGATTCCCCAGATGTTGACATTGTATTCACACCTTTTTCTTACAAGGTCTTAAATCATTATCGCTTTGTTGAAGTATTTTTCTTCAGTGTGGATATTCAGGTCAAAGCAAAGGCTCAGTGAAACTAATCTCATAGGAGCAGCCAGATGGTCGAAATATTGAGGAGCATTGCCTTAAATCATAAGTCACACATTGTAATCGAAATGCCACCATATTTATATCCTGAAATCACTTGAAAAACAGTGCTGCAAAGTAAATTACGGTAGTTATTTTTGTGTTGTACATTGATACAATGTCATATACAGCTTTCCAGTATGTATTATATCTGATATCTGTTTTATAGGGCCAAAATTAAAACTTATTTTATTTATTGATGTAATTTTTTTATGTTTGATGGAAAGTGAAGTTGTCTTGTTGCTGTTTCCAAGAAATATGAAACAGTATTCACAGATTGCATTCTGTTTAAGCAAGGGGTCGGCAACCTTTTGTTGCTTGCGGGCCAAAATAAAGGTTGCAAATCATTGGCGGGCCGCACAAATTTTTAGAAAGTTGAAAACCTAACAGATGCTATTTTTATAATAAAAATGAAGCAGTGATACATCTCTCGAATAGAATATAGATTTATTTTCTTATTGCATTGCATTTTCGGCGCCATTGAACCCTTTGCAACAACTTTTCTGCGTTATGTTCCCAATTGTCTAAATATAATTAAATTATTAGGCTGATTAAACGAGTAACTGTATTTTATACTTGTTAGAATATAATATAATTTAGTCTATACGCGTCTTACAATGAATTGTGTAACATGAAAAATATAATCGTCAAAACAGCTGTTTTGTTATTATAATTCAGTGAAGCGTCACGGGCTGGATTATATTGCTCCGCGGGCCCTAGGTCGCCGACCCCTGGTTCAAGCTATTGTACAAAACATTTCACTTGAAGTTTCCAGTTGGAATTTGAATGTTGAGCAGTGTGTATCAATCAATATACAGGCATCACATGTGATAACTTTGCATTCACTACAAGATTTCAACGAATAAATTTTCCTATAGACAATATATTCTAGTTGTCCACATACTCTTACAAAGACATCATTTTTGTTATCCATTTATCGGTTGTATATAGACTGCAGTGCATCACAATGCAGGGATATACATATATGTATATAGTTGGGATTTATGGAATTGTTTGTAATTCATTTCAATTGTGTTGAATCATGATATATCCACATTTTACTGAAAAAGCATATCCTACCAATTTGTTAACAGCTAGCTTGTGTCATGACAATGACAAGATAATGAAATGAATATATACATTGCAACTCATCTTTATTCCAGATTTTGGCTGAACTTAATTGGGTTTAAGTGATTCAATTATCTTTATTTTGGCGATGATGAATCTGTTTTTGTGATTGGAATGTTGTCCAAATAAAGTTTTTAGATAGGAAAACCAGTGCATGCTCTTGTTGATATTTTTAAATTCTTTTAACACTAATATAATTTTGTATCCGGATGATGTAAAATGTAGATATTATGCTAGTACAAATCTTTTATTTAACTTTCCAAACGCTTTATTACTCTTTTTGTGCCTCTCTTCGCTTATTTTCTGTCCATGTCATTGGATATTCTGAGCTATTTGTGGTATGTACATTGTAGTGTTGTGTTTTTTCACTGGGTTCGATTGCAAAAGTAGGAGACTCGCCATCGTACATATAATAAAACTTAGTTCAGATATTTTTGTGCATTTCAAGTATGGTGTTTAGTTTTTGCAACTTATTTGTCATTGGAATCGGCGCTAGTAAATAATTCTGGTATTTGTATTTTTGCCCACCCTTGGTCCATCATTGGTTGTGTTTTTCTGCACTTGTAGTTAGATAAAAATTTGCTTTTGGAATATATGTGTGACATTATAAGTTACTGTTCTGCCACATGCCTTTTATTCAACATTTTCAATTAGTGAATTGAAGCACAGCTATATCATCCTTTTATTCAAACAGCACATTGGCTTACTCTGTATTGTCAAAAATTAATTAATTGAAACAGTGTAAAACTAAATGCTAATACATTGTATTTTAACGGTATGCTTTTCAGCTTTTTTATGTTGTTTGGAACCCAGCAATATGCATTTTTTCCTTTCGAGAGAATTTTTTTTCGCATTAATCTGATGGTCTCTACAATTCACTTCTCTTTCTCTCATTTTGAAATTGTAACATGACGTTCCTGACATATTGAGATATTTATGTTTTGAGAATTCAACAAAAGGAAGAGCCAGATTGTGTTTGAAAATGAGGATTAGTCAATTTTTGTCTTTTGAGACAAAAATTCTATAAACAAATATTTATATTCAAAACTCTGAAATTCTAGCAGAGTCAACAGGCAAGCTTTATACTGCTCTTTAAAATATTTATAAACAATGTTAATATGTAATTCTTTAATTGTACAATTGTATGTTTTAACACCGATGTACTGCCAAAGTATGCTGTTACCGTATATTTTGTACAATTCGCGAATTTACAAAACCTTTGGCCTTAACGTTTTTATCCCATTAATGGTAGACAATATATAGACGCTTCATTTTACCGTATATTGATGATATTCTTGTTAGGCATTTAAATAAAATGCTCTGCTGGAATGATTCTTTAAATACTCTTCAGTGACTTAGGAGTTTGACTTAGTTAAGTCTTAATTTTTTCTTCCAAGGATTCCTGTTGATGAATAAAACCTCAATTCATTGAGGTTGACATGTGTATATATATATATATAAAAGGTGAAAATATTTTGTGTAAAAAGAACTGTGGAGGGCAGATCATGAATATGGCAGTGCGGCCAGATGTTAATAAGCCGACTTTTAAGTTTTCCCATTTTTACCCAATATAGAAGAAAATCCTTTTCATAAAGCGGATGGATCACAGCGTTATGTGGCTTGTTTTTGGTCAGCAGTTTGGGTATGAGAATGGTTGAACACACGGCGCCTTATCAAGAGACCTGGGGCCCAATGGCAAACTTTAAAGATTATTAATTTTGGCTCGAACTAACGTCGAAGGTATTGTTAGTTAAGAGATATTGTGTAGCAATAAACATCTATTTCTTTAAAATAGGTTCATGTAAGACGCGCGTGTGTATGCATACGTTAATTAGTTGATGCCTTTCGCGCCTTGGTGGCAGCAGACTCGTCAATGGAAAACTGAAGTGAATTTCATGGAGAATATGCACAAAAATGACAACACACTAAAGAGGCTCTGAGTCTGACCCGTAGAGCAGGGGTTCTCAAACTTTTGATGTTACGGAGCCCTTGAAGAGGTTGACCGTTCTTCACGGAGCCCCACAAATAAATTTTGAAAATAAAGCAGACAAAAAATACATGTTGATATTTAGTGATTAATATTCCTGAGTAAGTTAAAAATACCTTACCTAATTTAAATGCTAAAACTTTTTATTCTAAATTGCACGGATAAATTATACATATTAGGCCTGTAAATTTGACACACATATTAATGAATACTCTTTTGATATTTTGGAAGAATGAAGAAGTCGCTCATAATATGCGCGATAGCATTTTGCTGCAATCACCGATTGTTTTCGTAGCGATGCGTGTTTTTTAGTTAGACCCTAACATCTATATGTGGTGTTTATTCTCCCTAATCACACATTTTTCTTGCTTGTTCCGCGAATGCGATAATTACGTTTTTGTCTTTGTGCGTAATTGTGAGTTTAGTATGGAAAACAAGTTAATACAATATAATCATCGGCGACGAGATGCTAAAAATAATTAATAAGGGGGTGAATCAGCAACCCCAATTTCTTGATTGGAAAGCGGTATTATAAAATACTAAAACGGAAGAAAACATGATAATTTTTATTTTAGCGGACTCGCGACAGATTAAAAACGCTTTTTTAGACATTGTGAATCACAAACTTTGATGTTATGTTAGGTTATCAATGGGTGTTGTACCGTAGTTACTGAAATCAATACAATAATTGTGCGCTCGATGTACTTTTTTATCCATTCTGAAACTACCGACGGAGCAAAATGCGACTTTTTTCGATATGTGACTAGGCTTGCACGTAACTTACGGATTTACGGAATTATTTCCAGTTACGGAAGGGAAGTTACGAATTACGTAAAGTCGTAATTATTGGTCGAGCACTTTCGCGATTGAAACGAGCTCTCTTTAAAGCAGTCAATTCCGTCGATTGTAAAAAGTGAAAGTTTAAAAAGCAGAAGAAGTTAGAGCTTCGGTATTTGCAGTCGTTTTTCTCACTTTTCTCTCTCTTGCCATACGTCACCGTGATAATTAATGTCGCGCTTATCAAACAGCAATATGACGACGGAAGAGAAATTGCGTAATGAACCAACGCAACTTCGTCTTTTCGGCGTCGGTAAAGCGATTGAGACGGCAGAGTAACAACAATATGACGGGATTTCCCGCGATCCGGTAAAAATCCTTTGCGGACCGTTGACGGTCCGCGGACCGGCGGTTGGGAACCACTGTTTTAGAATACTTAAATCGAATCCAGAATCCTATTCTATTTTTATAGTTACCCGTATTTAAATAGTGGGATTTCTCCACCACAATGCATGATTAAAATTAAAAAAAAAAAAGCTAAATTGTAGCCTAAATGTTTAATGTATATATAACTTACTTTGTGCAGTATTTAATTGAAAATGTCCTGATCATTGGATTATATTTAACCAAGGCAACGAGATTTAAGAATTTCAACGATCGTTTTTTTGTTTTCAACAGTTCAATATTCTCAATTTAACTACTATCAAATATCAAGTATGAGCCAGCGTGTTTATTCTGTGCGAGAACCATTTTCAATTACAAAACCTTGATGTTCTGTTACCGGTTTTATCGTTTTATATCAGTCCGGACTTGTCCTTGCTCAATATATTTTCCACAATGCCTCGCAATATTTCGGCCAAATATGATTAACTGTCTTTACCAAATGCGGCAACTTATTTTGATTCTTGAATACCACCGACACTCGACCAAATTTGTGTCAATCTTGGCCGATAGGATCGTCGACTTGAGTTAGAAAAATAAGTTAATTTTTTCGTGAGTGCAAAAAAAATGTCACAATATGCATTTTTTTGCGATATAACTTTGTATTATCGGAAAAGCCATGTCATATAAGTACGGTATTTAAATTATGCGCAAATAATTAATATTTGATCTAAATTTGTCGCAAATAATGTTACAACATTTAGGCCGCGAAATGATTTGATGTAAAATGAAGCATGGTAATCGGAATAACGTCAATAAGTTGGCATCAATAATTATTATAAATGCTGACTGTAGTGAATATAAAAAAGTCTTCGTCGCGAGGCAAGCGCAAGTATAATCAAACGAGAGAATACGCTCGTCGTGGCATTGGTAAATTGGAAACCCGACATTTTTTTTAATACGACTTTAAAAAAGTCAACTATCGTTTCATTAATATCCGTATACCAGTGTCGGTAATGATAAAATTGGGACGGTTAATTTGCGAAGGTGATAAAGGAAATCAAAGTTAGCACAAAATATAAAAATCAGAATAAAATTAATTTGAATTCACTCTTGTCTCAACATCCGTCGCCGGCGTGTAGTACTGCCAGGAATATGAAAACCCAAACTCGATGTCCCAATCGAAAATGAAGTGGATTCAATTGGTTGTTATGAAAGGTTTAAATGTGTGAAAAAATATCGCAATTACGGGGTCATTACGTAATCGATTTGGCCGTAATTACGGAATTGATTTTTGTCAATTACGTGCAAGCCTATATGTGACGATATACAAGATAATCATAAAGATTATATCAATTAATTTGGTATTGAAAACAAAATAAATTTTCATGCTTTCTTTTTTCGTTTACTTGACTTTATTGTTTCTCCTTTGAGGTCCGCGAATTGGCGTGGTAATTGTGGGTGTTAATGATTTTATATTGTCGTAAGTCAACTCATCCACAGGTTGAATTGAACACAGTGAACAGACAAACAAGGCATTTGAACATGAGCGCATTGGTCAAGGATTCCGCAATTGTGAATTGTATTCATTGAGATATGAGAACAACTCAAATTTGATGAATCCCAAGATAGCAAAAACACGATTCCAATCTATTTATAATTGGCAGTTTAGCACCTATTTTAAGTTATTTTAGGTCGGGACTGAAATGTCAATCATTACGTTCGGGTCGGGCTTCTCTATCGCTGACTTTTTTTTTTAAATGAGGCGTTTCGGCCGTGTTTTGGCCACGGTCTGCAAAAAACACAAGTTGCCTTATCGACACGACACATACTGTACTAAACTCTTGCAATGACACGTCAAAGAACTCCTAAATAAGATATGAAAATTTCGGGTTTGCTTTGGTCTCGGGCCTGCAAATCCAGTCGGGCCTGATACCCACGGGCCTGGTTGCTGGAATTTTTGGGTCCGATCTTACTTCTGACTTATCCACTGAAAAAGTTTATTTTAAACGAGTGACCTAATCGCGAATAATGTTGCCCGGGAATTTCCAATTTCAATTTTGAACCCTCTCCCCTCTCTTAAAAAATTCTGACTGCGCTTCTGCATCTAGATGCTGTCAAATTTGAATTACCACCTCGTTGCCATATTTCGACTCTACTGTCGTTAAATTTTATTATTGGTGTTTTTGCTTATTAACAGTTACAGAATAACCAAGTCCGTATTTTGATTGAATATATCGCGGAGCCCCTAGGTTTCTCTCGCGGAGCCCTGGGGCTCCGTACGGAGCACTTTGAGAACCTATGCCGTAGAGGATAGTGCAACGTTTTTAATTCGAGCCGAGAAAATGAGCGTTCCCTAGGTTAAAATAATAGCCATCAGTGACGAGTGAATCCACAAAAAAAATCCAAAACTTGCGTAGTGGGAATTAAGGTTAAAACTCCGGTCGTATACAACTATTCGAAAACAGCTGGCAAACCAGTTGTTTCTGCAAATTTTTGCTGCAATTTTTATGAGGCTGCACCTTTTACCAGAACGGAAACTGGAAAAAAATTGAGTTAAAGTCAATGATGTTGTTATTATCATAATATTATATATATACTGTATATATATATTGATAATGTATGGAAACTTTTATATATATAATGGCATCTTTGTAAAACTTTTTAACATTTTAAAGCGACAAACAAAATTGGGCAAAACTATAGGTTCTTCGAAACTGTGTTGTATTCAATATAACAACCCCGGGGCGTGTTGCAACTCGGCAAAATGCTTTTGGGCGATATTGAGAACGCCGCCTCGTGAATTGCCCCGTATTACTACTGTTTTTTTTATATAGAATCGAGTCTTTTCCTGAAATTGCTTTGAATCGATTGGAATGGAATGTTGATTCGAATCGCTTCAATTAAAAATTAGGAAACTTACAGCCATACCAACAATCATTTCAATTTGGTTTTCGAACATTGACTCGACACCAATCAGAACACGAACCGCTAATGAATGGCTGAAAACTTGCCAATTCGATTTTTCGGAGGAAAGCTTAGTTGACAAATGGTGTCAATGGAAGTCCTATCTTTGAATTTTGCCTGCCCGTCATCCCCTCAGGACAGCGATTTCTCCACTAGCATGAGCCACTCAGATGTGAAAGCGAGCTACTTGGTGGCAGTAATAATCGCAGCACGATCTAAATTCTAAGCCATTCTCAGGCGGAGAAGGAATTGTTCAGATTGGACATTTTATAGAAGAAACTTCAGTTGCGAAAACGGGGCATTTTTCATCACAGTCATTGGCGCTTGGCAAAAGCATCGATATCAAGTCTG